CAACCCACATTTTTTAACAGATGCAGACCTTTCCAACCTTGTCAGAAAGTCCTTAAAGATATAATAGAAACTTATCTTTATTTTATAAAATTGTGCATAAAACAAGAACTTTAATTTCTACATGTTTCTGGAATAATTGCTTTTGAACACTATTTGTTTATCTAAGCTTTTTAAAATACAGTTTAGAAGGAGTTTTGAGGAGCATAGATTTGTTTGTACCATAACACATGAAACATTTTTTAAGACTACATTGGAGAAATACTGCATTTCTAACTTAAAGTGAGAAGTAAACAGGAGTTACTTTTAAATAAAGGAGAAATTAGACTATTTGTGATTCCCCAGTTATTTCAGTTATCTTCCTAGATAAAAAGTACCTTAATTTTAAAGTGATATATAGTGATAAAAATGTACAAGAGTGTAAAGGACAGATTAAAAGTGATGTCTTAGTTACTGACTGTGACAGATTTTCTAGTATGTTTGGGAAATCAAAGGTTTTAAGCTGCCTGAGTAATTTTTTACCCAATAGAAAGACTGGTGGGTTCAAATCCTCACCCACAATGAGGATTCAAATCCAAACCAGCATGTTTGCATTTTTGCAAGTCACCTGCAGTGATTCTTAGCAGAATTTTCTGTGTCAGAATTGCTGGGAAAGATTGTCTTTGGGGTCATTTCACATGTGGAAGAGTGGCATTAGTAGAAGCAATTGTAACAAGAAATAGTAGAAGTAATTAGTAGAAGAAATTGTGAGATTGTAGCTGTGTACATATAAAGCCAATCCTCATAGACCAACATATGGCCAAGGAAGATCCATCAGTATTTAGTCTGTAGGGTCAAAAGATGTCCAGACTCTGAGGGACTACCAGGCTCAACTGGCTCTGCCCAGCTTCTCATCAGCCCTGCCTGTATCCCCAGGAGCCCTGTTTCATCTTGGCAAACCTCCTTCTGTGTAATCATATCCTGGTTGTGCATGCTTGTGTACTTCTGGAGGATAAACAAAAATTTCATGCTCTGACCCCAAAATCTGTATTTTAATGAGCTGTTGAAAAGCCAAAGTTTCTTCCTGCAATATGAGGTATGCTGGATAGCATTGCAACAGTACAGCTGTTTGTAAATTTTAGGGGCATTGTTCCCAGCACAGGATAGAGCTGCCTTTTCTTCCTAAGTTAAGTAGTCGAGAGAGAGAAGAAGACAGATGGCTAAAATAGTTTTCTTCTTTTTAATGCTTTCTGAAGGATTTTTCCTCTTGCCAGTGTTTACAGGACCTCAGGAGAGATGGTGGCTTAACTAAAGATTTCCTTTACACAGGCTGCTCCCTGTGTGAAGGAAGCACACCATATAAGACCTGAGGTTGAATGTTTCAGTCCCATGTTTTGAATTCCAGTATAGTAATGGCGGAGCTTTCAGTTCTTTCAAACTGGAGTTTGTGTCTGTAAGCAGAATCACACAGAACCACAATATCATTGAGGTTTAAAGGAACCTCTGGAGGTCAACTGATACAACCCTTCTTCTCAAGCAGGCTGCCCAGAACCATGTCCAAACAGTTTTTGAGTATCTCCAAGGATGGAAACTCCACAACCGTTCTGGGCAACCTGTACCAGTGCTTGGTCACCTTTACTGTAAAACAATGTTTCCTGATGTTGAATGTCCCATGTTTCAGTGTGTGCTCATTACCTCTGATCCTGACACTGGGCATCACTGAGAAGAGCCTAGGTCTGTCCTCTTTGCCTCCCCTATTCAGGTATTTATAGGCATTAATGAATTCACTTCTGCTTTCCAAACAGTCCCAGCTTTCTCAGCCTCTCCTCACAGAAGAGATGCTCCAGTTACTTAATGTACCCTTGCTGGATTCTCTCCAGTATGTCCGTGCCTCTCATGTGCTGAGCAATGCAAATGCAGTAGCTACAATCTCTGCAACACAAAAGCTGTTCCTACAGAGATGTTAACTTTGGCTGTAGCACAAGGCAGGATGGAATGGCTGATACAAAGAAAATGCTCTTTGAAATCTGAAATTATTCCAGCACATCCAGAGTCTTGACAACATTCAGTATATACAGGAGCTAAAACCCCTTGGTTTTCATACCTTTATTTCTCTCGATGAGTTAAGATATTAAAGTAAATAGTCATGGTTGACATGGACAAAAACACTTTGGAGTATTTTCAGAACTTTAGGATCATTTGAAAATATTCACTGTTTGAGATTCAGAATGGATCTTTACTAGAATGTCACAAGAGATATCAGTCACACTAGCAGCTTCCATGGAGAAAACTTCCTGGTGTCTTAATGTGAGATAACTTTCACATATGCCAAACTGAACAGCCAAAATTTACTTGTAAGCATATTAGAGTAAATAGGTAATAATATACTTTCCCACAGTAATGTGGTTATGTTTGTAGTGAAAATTTTATACAGACAATTCCATTATGACATTTATGATAGCTAAAATTAGATTTTAGTTTTAAATTTGTTAGAATATCTATTTAGGAAAAGCAGGGAAAAAAGGAAGATAAGTAAGAATATTCAGAACAAAATGCACAGAGTAGAGAAGTATTCAGCAATACATTTCATTCAGTCATTTTGTGAATAGAAAGTAGAAGGTACAAGAAAATCTGCAAGAACACCACAGACTTAAAGGAAAACAAAACCAAATCATGGTGGAAAATATGATTGCGTTGTGGCCTCTGGACTTCAATTTCATCTTCTGGTAAGATTACATATTGATGAAAACACAGGTATTTGTCCACTGAAACTAATGGCTCATTCAGACTGCATCTGCAGAGCTGCTGGGAGTCATAGCAGAGTGGCCACTCTGCTGATCATCAAGCCACATTAAGGGGTTGCAGAGAGCTGCAGCACTGAGTGTTTCTTATTGGCTGTTAATAGGTCTCACTAAAGTCATGGTGCAATACATTGAAACAGGATGTATCTTATATAAATAAATTCCGTAATCTCATTTTGCATGGCAATTACTTTTTATGTTAGTTTCCTTTATGAGACATCAAAATTATGTTTTGACAAAGCCTTAGATAGCCAAAGCATCGTTGCTCATGAGAAGTGGGTGGTGTCTATGTTTCATCTCATGTAGTCAAGAGATAAAGCAATATGAAAGGAGATATAGGAGTTGAGAAATTAAAAAAAATAGGGATATCTACCTGATGGAGTTTTTGTGAAGAATAGAAACAAAGCAAGTTACCAGTTTGGCTTAACTAGAATCTCATTTACTAGTACATTGAAGAAAAAAATCTTTTGAATGTGTGCAGTAAGCAGTGAGTACAAAGGACTACTTCAAATGCTGGCTATGGTGAACTTTGCATATTTGTCTAGAAAGCAGAGAGATTTCATGGCAATTATAGAATGTATTCTTTACATGTGTTCTGTAATGAAAAAATACTGAAATATATCTATCTATCTATATATATATATAGATATATATATATACCATACATACTGTACATATTAGCATAATGCAAAATTTAGAAAAGTCAAATGGAATGGAAGTACCTTTTAGTCATGAAAGGTCAAGGTTATGATGTCACAGTCCAACTTTTCTTTCTCTTATGGTTTAATTTCAAAATGCAATTCTGATAAAACCCCTGTTACAGAAAGACCTGAGTCAGTGGGATGTGATTAAGTTCATTGTCTTTTCCTCTTACCATGTGGAGACCTATTCAAATGACAGACTGTGTTATGCCTGGAAGAGTTGTATTCCTCATTGTGCTGCAGTACTGGCCTGTTGGGCCATTAATGTATATTCACAGAATCTCAGAATTTTCAAGGTTAAAAAAGACCTTTAAGATCATATTTACAACTCAGATTTTGTCCTTGACACCAATATAGTGTAAATAGACTAAACTATAATTTTTGTAACAACTGCCTTTTAAAAGGAATTGATTCCTGCTTCCTTTTGTCCTCAAGCTGACTTTCAGTGCAAACACTCTGAAATGCCATAATTTGTTGAAACTGCCCATGTGGTCCATTAATGAGTCTGAACCAAACAGTTTGCTAATGCCACTGAGCTTTGTTGGCTGTTTTTAATGATTATCTCAGATATTGTGTGATAGTCTCCCCACACTGTTCACAATGTTGTCTCTTTTGTGTCTTTGGCAGCAGCTGTGTTTGTCCTCTCTGGGATTCTTCATTCCAGTGCATGCTATTGATGGATGATGATCATTTTTTTCTGGAGTAGGCATGTAGAATAAATGAGCTCTGCTGTTCACTTTTTCAGCCATAATCTTATTATGTAGATCTACATTCATGAGCTACATTCCCTACTTTGTAAAAGAAGTTGCAAAAGCTTTTACATAGAAGAATAGGCACTTCAAATCAGCCTTTGAAATAAGAATTCCTGCTTATGAGACTAGGCATGGCTGAGTGAGATTCTGTGCAGTACTGGGAATATGGGTAGGGAAAGATGTTTTTATTGATCTAGTGAGGAGAGAACCTCTGGAAGCTGTTCGTGTCAATATTTTGTTCTTTGACATCATTTGGACCCATCAGTGAAAAAATTAATGTGGTTTAAAACTTGCATGCTTCCTGTTTCTTTTGCTTACTTTGGAGTAGTTTGCTGCAAATATCATGGCAGAAACTGTTTAACTTCACTGTAGACATCACAATCTTTCTTACTCATTTCAAACATTCTAGTGTTTGAAGTTTTCTACTCCTTTTTTTGTTTCTTAGTGGGTGAAAGAAAGGCAGATTGGTTCCATCACCCACAGAAAGGAATATGCTTGTTTCCCACAGGTTTGTGTCTGGCTTCTCCATTGCCTGACATTAACAGTCAGTCCAGAGACAGAAGGGGACCCTTCACTGGCAGCAAGACAAAACATGAATAGTTGGATTGAACATGTTGCACCACCGTGTCTGCGCCTGCTCAAGGCCTGACAGTATTGGCAGCTGGTCACCACTTTGTAACACCTTCTGGATTAAAGATGTGGGAAGAAAGCTTCTCATCTTACTCATCCTAGTATGGCCCTCAGATTATCATTCTTTATTGATTTTTCAGGTAATCAGTAGTGAAGTTGCAACAAGAATGCCAAGGGTAATCAAGAGAGCCTTCATGAGCTTGGAGTGACTGGGTAAGTGATCAGGAGCAGAAGCAGTGGCACCTCTGTCTTTCCAGTTTTACTCCAAGAAGGACATTGAGGTGCTGAAACATGTCAAGAGAAGGGCAGTGGAGCTGGTAAGGGGTCTGGAGCACAAGTCTGATGGGGAGAAGCTGAGAGAGCAGGGGTTGTTTAGTCTGAGAAAAAGAGACCTTATCATTCTCCTCATCTGCCTGGAAGGAGGCTGCAGCCAGGTGGGGGTTACTTCTCCCAAGTAACAAGTGGCAGAACAAGAGGAAATGGCCTCAAATTGTGCCAGGGGAGGTTTAGATTGGATACTAGGGAACATTTCTTCACTGAAAGGGTGACTGAATTGATAAGGCTGCCCCGGGAAGAGGTGGAGTTACCATTCCTGGAGTTTTTTAAAAGACATATAGATATGGATCTGGGGGACCTGGTTTAGTAGTGAATTTGTCAGTGCATTGGGCTTGATGTTCTGAAAGTCTTTTCCAACCAAAATAATTCTCAATAATTCTACGAATCATCTTGTAACAGTAATTCTCATCTTCCTTGAAAACCATCATCTGTATGATATGCTAATGATATCCAAAAACACTTTATTTTGAAGCACTTAAAGGCAGGTCATTAAATTTACTGTTCTAAGAAATGTTTTATTCAGAGTACACCCACATAATTCATTATGCTGCTTTTACCTCTTCAGCCAAGTCTATCTCTCACTATTCAATTCACCAATGAGATATTTTTCAAGTTAGTGGGAAAAGTGCCTGGAGAAAAAGTCAATCCCCCCACCTCTCCTAGCACCATAAAAGAGAAGTATGTAAAGGTACTGATAATTATTTATGTTTTGTGCTATATTGGGCTTTCAGCAGCCAAGAAAAAAAAGCTCTAAGAGAACTTTGTACAAAAAGCCCCAATGGGACATGTTCCAGAAAGGAAAAATTATTTGCAAATAGAACAGACATCAATATTCAAATGATTCTTAAGAATAATATTATGTGTTTCCTTCCAAATAATTCCATTCAAGGAATTCAAGGTCATATATTGATGACAAGTAAACAAAAATTATTTTAGTGTTAGGCAATGTTTTAACTACATTGCTGTTAAGAATAAAATACCAAGTTTAATTTTATTCCCCAAGTTTAAAAAATGGTTATTAATTCACTGGGGAGTTCTGAATTGCAGTTTTGGAAATTGAAGAACTATTCTCAGATTCATGATGACTGTGAGTACATGGTGCAGTTTCATAATATACTGTTAGAGAAAGCCAAACATCTCTAAAAAATTATACAGAAAGGAAACTTTAGTTTTGTTAATAAGACAATTTAAACTCTGTTTGAGCTTAACTTCTTCTTTAACTTAACTTCTGTTTGGCTTTCTAAATTTCTTAAAGACCCTAACGATTTCTGATAGGAATAACAATTAATATTTTTCAATGTGAGGAAGATAGAGCTGGGAAATGATGGAAGGTCTACAAGAAGGAATTCATTTCACCAAACACACTTTCTGAAGCAAAGACCTGAATGCTGAGAAAAACTGTACACGACATGGACTGAGCAACAATAAAAAACATTAAGGAAAAGAACATGAAATTGGAAAGAATTTTTTTTTTTTTTTTTTTTTAACCTCTGCATGTGCATATATATATATGTACAGCACCATGCAAGACTTTGTGTGTTTGGATGTGTACATACATACAGCCAGATGCACAGAAGCATGGATTTGTCTCCTTCTTTTGAGAAGAGAATGACCTGAAATATTGAGTCACAAGGCAGTAATACCTGCTTTAAAGAACCTGGAACTGTAGTAAGAAAAACTGTCATATGTTGCAATGATGTGTTTGAATGGGGTATAACAGAAGGTGCTCTTCAGAAGACACTGGAACTTGAAATACTCTCCTTTTACTCAGCCATTTATTATGACAAACTTTTAGGGACTTAATAATTTTGAAGTCTCCAGTCCTTGTTTCATTTTTCATTAAAAATGCTAATTAGATAGGAATGTCTATGAACTACCTCTTTGGAACACCAGGCTAATATATGGACATAAGATTTTTGCAATTCAGTGGTATAAAAAAATTTTTACAAACTAAAATTTACAATGTTGAGAAGAATATTTTAAACCTTGGAAGTGGAAACTGATAGACCCTGACCAATCATTTTTTTCTAAATTATTTTAAGTGGCTTATCTTTGAAATTTACAGAGAATAGTGAAGTTTGTGGTAGCAAGAACTTCAGATCTGTTATTAGAATCCCCCAATAGCTCTACAGGTGAAATATTACCCAGTGACCCATATCCAGTGATGTCTTTTGATATGGTTCTGCCTTTCAAATAGTGAAGATTCAAAAGTCTAATAACTTAGGAGAGTTTCTCTTTATTTCTAAGTAGTCAGGATGTGAGATAATATTTTTGTTTGATTGTTACTTAAAGTAATTCAAGAAGAACTCTGTAGAAATTTACCTTTTCAGACATTTTAAACGTTCAAATAACGTGCTTAATGTTTTCTTTGAGAATTTACAAAAGAAACAGTTAACTAGTAGAAGCATATAATTATCTTTTATTCCTCGAGAAATATCTATACATTCTGCTGTTTTTAGAACAATAAATTAATATCCAAATAGTCAGTATCTACATAACTCAGTATACTGCCTTGTTAAGGCATTAAAAATGTTAAAATGTTATGACAGTTCCATAGTGCAAACTCTGGGCAGTAGTGAAGGCTCAGATTTGTCTACAGTAGAAACAGATGTGAATAAATAATGTACCATCTAGAAAAACAAACAAGAAATTGAGTAGCGTGATTAAAAATATTTATTATGGTCTCCAGGCATTTGTTTTTATATCAGTTATTTACTTGCTGTCACAATTGTCCAAATAGAGAAAATTCCAATTTCTACCCAGTGAGAATAATAACTAAAAGGATACCTTAGTGCACACAAATTGAGACAAGCAAGACACAAATGCTAACAAATGAGTATATATTTTTATGATCTCAAGTCCATGTATCCATCCAAATTGGCTTTGATGTTGACACTTGAAACAACTTCATTTGTGTAGAGTATTAGTGATTTGCCAGTACTTTGTTTCTAAACATCTCAAGACTGCCAATTTAAGACTATCAACTAATCCAAATTCAATTTTCATGCTTTGGATTAGGCAAGTTAGCACTTGGTCCATAGTCTGCTGCAGACTGCTTTAGGACAGGGTGAAAGAAGAAGAAATAATATATGTTCTGGGTTTTATTTTTTTTTATATAACTTTTTGCTGTGCCCCATCAGCACAGAGAGAGAATATCTGTGAAAGAAACAGATACCCCTCACCTTGGTTAGTCTGCCTGGAAAAAGCTGCAAGATTGGAGAGCTTTGCAGTGGGTTGTCAGAAGGAAATATGAAGGAAATGGGTGGATGATGGGAAAACATGAACTGGAGCCTTAATGAGAAGAATAATCTCCTAGAAAGATCTGATGGTATATTTCTATGCTAATTTTTTTGTTGTTGTCGCAAGGGCAAATTTAATTCACTCAGTAGCTATGTCAAAGTTCAGTTCACAGACAGCTCTACAATCTTTGCTTTTACAGTGAGGCAGGAACAGAAGTGATAAAGTAACAAGAGGGAGGAATAGCCTCTGCCTTGTGATGGGGGCTATTGTGAGAGCCCTGCACAAGAGGCACATTGTGGTTGTTCTCAAATGAGAAATGGGGTCCATGTTTCCCCCTCTTCTCTTTGAGTTGAATTGAATCCAGCTGTAGTATTTCAATCAATTTTCTTCAGCTTTTCTTTTGATATGAATAATTATCTGGAGAATCACTGAATTGTTATAGATATTTTTCACTTGACAAAACATTGTGTGTTAATTGCTTGTAAAGATTACATGTATTTAAGCATCACTATTGTGTGTAGCATATGTGGTAGGTGGCCCCACACTTTCAGGTGCTCCTTCACAACCTCATGCACAGCCGCTGATGCTTCAAGGTGTACCTGCCTCAGCACAGACATAACCATGGCCATAGATGTTTCGAGAAGCACATGCTCTGTTATGGAGCAGGTGACACACATTATCCATGGCCACAGACACTTCAGGGTTCCCTGCCCCTCTGTGGACTCATCCACAGGTCACAGCACATTCAGCTCGACTTCACACTGGGCTTCCAGCCTCTCCAGCTCAGCAGCACAGGCACAGCAGAGATGCCCTCACCATCTGCCAGCCCGGACACATCACAATTGCTATTATCCCAGGCACAGCAGAGTAAGACAAGAAGCAGTGAAAGCAAAAAAAAAGAGCCACTAATGAGCACTTCCATTGAAAAATGCTTCTCAGATCCAGGATGGGGCTTTATATCTCAGTAAGATCAACCCTGTCAACCCATCTTCATATAAAGTCTGGTCACTGTGGTTCACTCATGCCAAACATTAGGACTCAAGTTTCCGTTTTAAAGAGTCTACCACACCCTAGAGGATGATACTGTTCCTAAATTACTTTGTGGTTTCTCTTGCCCACATTCAAACCAAAATAAAAGTATTAAAAAACCCAACCAACCAACAAACTAAACCTGCAAATATCATTAAATTATTTCAATCATGGGTCAAAAACCAGCAGGCTGAGTTTTCTAATGCCGTGTTTATGCCAATATTTCAAAATGGCACTGAACTGCTTGCACCCATATCTTCAAATACTGCAAAGCTGAGTGGCTACCTCCACAATTGTAACTGGAATTGGGCTCCAACCCATAGCAGTTCCTTAGTTATGGATGGGAGAGGGCTGTGTGGCCCCTGCTGGGGTTTGGTTTAGCTTTTTTAAATATTAAGAGGATCTTGTTTTCTTGCTTGAGGATTTTGCTTATTACTGCAAAATTTCCAAGAAGTACAGACTAAAAATATCTCTGTACAAGAGAGTTGCTAATCTCCCAAATTTATCAAGCGGACACCCAGAAAAATGGTGCACTTTGGTTAAAAAGGTTCCATGAAGCTTTTCAAATTGTGGTTCAATTTATTTCTTTCAGTTTTGAGCTGAGATATGAAATACATCTAAACTAGGAAAGTTGTCTGAAAATTTTAAATAATTTTCCAATATTTACTGAGAAAGTAATATAATTTCTTTCACTGACCTTTTTGTGTGTACTTTCCATTAAAATCTGAGGATCAACTGGCAGTGATTATCTAATGTGGATGGTTACAGAAACATAAACAACAGTGGAAAAGTGGTTTAATTCATACTAGTAGTAGTACTCATGTATAAACCAATCAAAAAACAGAAAAAAAAATATTGTCACTTTTTATCACTTAGAAAAAAAACCCTACCAGTATTCAGACCATAAACAGTCATCTTTTTGTATAGTCCATCCCCTTTCTCACAGAGCAGTTATGGAAAACTGTTCTCAGAAGAGCTAGTAAGGAATTTCTTATTGTGATCTTGTCACATGTTGATGGGAGAAAGTGGTGCATTCTTGTTTGTATCTTTTCACAAAGTCACAGAATTGTTATGGTTGGAAGAGAATTCTGCAGATTTTTGAGTCCAACCCAAGGCAGGGTCACATAGAGCAGGTGACCCAGGAATGTGTCCAGACGGCTTTCTGGGTTTCGAATGTCTCCAGAGAGGGAGACTCCACAACCTCCCTGGGCAGTGGAGGTTCCACTTTTCCAGTGCTCTGCTACCCAGAATGTAAAGAAGCTCTTCCTCATGTTGTGGCACTTCTTGTGTTTTAGTTTATGGCCACTGATCCCTATGCTGTCACTGGGCACCACTGCAAACACTCTGGCACTATCCTCCTGGCACCTGTCTTCAAGGTATTTATATGTATTGATGAGATCCCCTCTCAGTCTTGCTGTCTCCAGAATAAGCAGGCCCAGTTCCCCCAGTCTCTGCTCATAAGAGATATGCTCCAGACCCCAAAATTATTGTCCTTGCAAAAACCCTTGCAGAGGGACTTCAGAGCTGCTACTTGAGATGTTTCCAGTTTGGACTGTTACAATCTGCTTCTTAAAGCAGGATCATGGATCTTTTTCCTCTCTATATAACAAAACTGGCTATATTGGCACCATAACTTTCCCTGGGCATTCATTGTGAACCTACTGGCATTCATTGTGAACCATGGAGCATGTCTGAGTTCAAAGTCCCCCACTGACTTGGGCTGGCTTTTGGTTAGGCTTAGAGACACAAAATAGAACAGTGGTGAAAAGGAACCCTTCACAACCTGCTTGTCTCTACTTCACAAGAGAAAAGAGAGAATTAATTATTCATTTTAAATCACTCAGCCTGCCTTAGTAGGCAGCCTTTCATAGTGTAACAACTTTAAATGAACTGCTCCCCTTCCCTCCTCCTGAAAGTGACACCAGTTCTTAATGCATAGTGACACTCAACATGATAGGCACATGACCTAAATGCTAGATATGGCCCACTGAAGAGAACACTATTTTTAAAGATTTGTGAATATTTTATAGATATTCTTTCTTTTCCATAATCAAAAGCAAAAAATAAATGTTCCAAAGTATTTTGTGTACGTTAAAGAAAAAAAAAAACAAAACAATAAAAAACCCAGAGAGAGAACATGCTCACTGTAAAGCAATTTAGTACTGACAGTATTCTCTTAGAAAATAGCACTACCTACCTGCAGGCGGGTAGAGTGCAGAGATCACTAGGCTATTAGCTGTTCCACAGTGAAGTTGTCCTTTTTCTGTCTTTGCAATAAGAGCTATAGTCTAAAATTGCTGGAATTATGAAAATAATGGAAAAAAACTTTCCTTAAGCACTTTCAATTTCAGTCATTTGTAATTTTCACATAACAAGCTATTTCATGGGAAAAAATGTTAGAAGACCTTTCAGTTTAAGGCTTTGAAGTTGATACTGTTCCCCTATCTAAAGTACAGTTTTGTATACTGAATTTTGTTTGGTTTGCAATCTGTCCTCTTCCTTCCCCTTTCTCCCCCTCTCTGCCCTTTTATCTCATATGTCTTCTGTCCTCTTTATTGCCACACTGTAAATGTGAATGGTCATGTTCTTGCATGCCAGGACTTAATAATTTGCCATTATATCATGCAAACACTGCTTTCACATAGCTCACAGCATACTTAACCCCCCTCAGTCTCAATTTCTTATAGACAAAACCAAGGGAAACTTTCTACTGACCCTAACAGTATATGAAAACAGACTTGGATTTTATAGGTTTGAACAGGTTAGTGCAGGGCTATTACTCTAGCTGCATGTAAATACCATCAATCATCTTTACAGTTTTCATCCACTGTAAGTGATTCATCAGGCATTATTTCTTTCTTTCTTTGCAGACACATTTTTTATCCTCTGAACTTCTCCCGGATAAGCTCACCTTGTTCTGTGAGGTGAGAACTTTTGTCTTTGAGGAATGTATTTTCTTTTGCAGACCTTTTTTTCTTCTTCCTTTTTGCAAATGTCTAATGGGTATTTTCTAAGGTGTGGTAGAATCATGCAAAAGCAAGTGGCTGATCAGTGGCTATGGGGAAGGTGTCCTGAACACCATACTGGATGGACTCCTGGGAGAAGAGGTCCTGCCTGCTGCCAAAGACTTCCCATAGCCCCAGGCAAGCAATTCAGTTGCTCTGTTCATCAGGGAAATGGAAGATGAGATTCTGCTTCAATTTCTAGCTTGTCTAGACTATGGGGACTCTAGAGTGGCCACTACATTTACATACATCTCCCAATATACCTGTGTTCCCCACAGCTTGGTCTGCATCCCAGTGCTAATTACAATGGTGAAGATCAGGCAGAAAAGAAGGAGTTTGAAAATAATTTCTCTTGATACTTCATCTCCACAATCTCAGATCACAGTTCCAAGCAGTCTCCGTTCTAACACTTCTGTGTTCTCAAATAATATTGTTAATTTGTGACTGAAGTCACTATCACAATGCCGCAGCTTATGACGATTTTCATTCTGCATTGTGGCTTCAGTGAAGCAACATGGATTTGCTTGACTTAAAATCTTCCAGATTTGCAATCTACAAGAAACTGATGGAAAACTGCAAGTGTCCCTCCCTGAGGCAGCCAACCAGGAGACAGTGACATTTGGCACATTAGCACAGCAGTGCACAGAATAAATTTCAAGTTTCTCCCCATTGATTTCCCGTCTGAAGCCACTAATCCATCCCAGCTACAGTTCCAATGCCACCACAAGAATGTGCAGTTATAGACTCTCAAGCAGAACTGTTTTCCTCAGCATGGATCTTGTTCTCTCAGAGCTGACACCCTTGAATCAGATGTCACATTTCTTTGTAGTCCTGTTTGACAGACTGCATTGCTTTAACAACTAGTGTCGAAAAGTTTTATCAAATGACACTGATTAATTTATTGAGGATAGTCTTCCTATAAAACTGCCAGCTTTCAGTGTGTTACAGGACCAATCTGACCATTTTGGAGCCACTGGGGTTGGCCCTGGGCTCCCTTACACTCCTTCAGAATAATGTGAACTTTGAATTGTTGCAATAGTTTTTTCAGAACTTTCACAACTCCAAGGCAACCCTATTTATGTACATAGACATTTGTGTGACAGTTGTTTCCCTTCTTATTTTTGGTCTGGAGAAAATAGTTCTTTCCCTGTTGAAATATGTTTTCTTCCTTCTGTTGTGCAGAACATCATCTCTTATAGATGATCTGTGGAGTGTTTTTAAAAGATGCTGTGCTGATCAAAACATGCTAACATGCAGTTTTACTTAATCATCCATCTGGAAGGGCAGAAGTATAGATACAATAGTGTTAGCAAAATCATATCATTCTGAGGCTGATCCCTAAGAAGGTTGGATAATTCAGGACAACAGCCTTTTTAAAATATTTGAGTTACAATATTTGTTCTTCTTATTGTTTATTATTTGCATTTCTGAAATTAAAGTTGGGGTGTACTTTTCCTTTCATTTAGCATGTGATGAGAACTTTGGTGGAACTCCCTGCTTGCTACACCCAAGGCAGGAGGCACTAATTTTTTAAGGCTGGGATACTGTGAAACAAGATCTAGACAAGACATTTCTGTCTTTGTCTGTCTTTGGTACCCCCTGTAAAGTTCTAGCAACACTTTGCATCTCTTTGGAAAACTGGCATTTCTCATTCTGTGGCTTTTCCTGTGGAAAACAAAGGAAAGAAAAGAAAAAGAGCAGTAGGAAAATCAGATTGTGAGTTTTTATGGTTCTTAACTCTGGTTCCTGGGTTTGTGGGAGACAAGTTTGTATCACGTGCCAGCCACGGAACAGCTGTCAGGCTGAGCAATCAGATCCATGTTAGAGGGTGCATCACACTGCCTTTCCCCTTCCCTGTGCAGCACTGGCTTTCCCTGACTCACCAATGAATGTTGTGGCTGCTCTTTCTCCCTTACTGTGCTCCTCTGCAAGCAGCAGCATTTCGGTGAAGTCTGCTCCTTGAGTATCTGCACATCCCAGCCCAACATCACTGCTTCTGCTTTACCACCAGATGCATCCGGGAAACCTTCCCCAGCACTGCAGTCACCAGCCAGGACAAAATCCTCTTGAGGTGGCTGCTGAACTTAGGAAATCAGATTGGCTCCTGAAGGCAGGAAGCAGATGAAAAATCATGGAAACATCTCCTTTACTTTGTACCTCCCACCTACATCAAATTCGCTTGGAGTTTCCCCAGACCCACCACAGCTCTCTGAGTCTCTTGTGCTAGTGCTCTGTTTGCAACTTGTCATTAAACCTTTCTGAATACTTCTCAGGGATTGTACCAGGGGGCTGCATCTCTCAGTACTGCAGAGTTTCTTTTTTGGTATTACAGGTAAAAATTATTTTGTTCTTGAGACAGCAGTTGATGGTTTTGCCTCTGAGAAGCTCTGAGTGAGGTCTGTGCCATCATATAACCTGGATCCTAAAACCTGGAAACATCCCTAAGGATCCCTGTGGAAACATGCCTGTGCATGTCCCGGGGTGGACCCTGACTGACAGAGTTCTACCTTGAGTGCATGTTTGTCCTCAAGGATATGGGACACACAGAGCAATTTGCAGACCTTCTAAAAGCAATTATTCCTTAGGTATTGTAGGAAAAGCACATAAATGAACTACAGAACATCTCTGCACAAACAATATTCACTTTGTAAAGATTTTTTTATTGCACTTGAGAAATTTTGAGCTTGTGACCTAATCTCAAAGAAACTGTTGCGCTCTTCTATCTCTTCCCCACACGTTTTATTTTCTGGAACATGAATCCTCTTTTCAGCAGCAGATCTTATAGCTGGTATTCTAAAATTATTCATATTACTTGAATAACTCTTATGATAAATGGAGATTTCTGAGGGAAGATCTAATGACCATTCATTTCAGAGACCATGGTATCCTAGAGGATTGGCATGAAGGATAACCATTACTACAGGATTGGATAACTTTTCATTTTATAAATGTGTTAGGATTGAAGGAATGAATTCTCAATGTGAAATACAACAGATTTAAAAATGTTCAATATAAAAATTTTTATTATGGGAGTGTATTTTCATGGATGTGCTTAGTCTGATTAGGTTTAGCTTTGTTCTTTTTGTGATCACTTCCTCTTTAACCTTTTTATTTTGCCATTCTGTTCTTAAAAATTTCTATTATTTGTTAAAAAATATTTTTATCCATTATGCAACCTTTGTAGATCTTATTTGCTATCTCTGTGAGGGAGAAGAGTAACAGAAATTGAGTGTGAACGAAGCCAGGGAGCATGTGGGATCTGTCTTATTCCTGCAAACACAACTAAGACTAATACCATTGCCAGGTTAATGATTAAAGGCTCAGGGAACTGAAATGCATTTTCATAATGTTTGCTGGGCTACTATATTTTGATAAACAAACTACCCTGATGATAGAACTTCAAATTTTATCATTAAACCATAAGATGACTTATTTCACCCTGTGGTGTCTTTAGGAATAAGATCAATATGGACTCTCCATATAAAATGTAGACATCTCTGTGTGAATTATCCTGCAACTCAAGGCATGTTAACACCCAAACGAAGCCATCTTTAGCAAACTTCTCAATGGAGCAGTGATTTCGGCATCAAGTGATCGGCATTAAGATCCAGTCAGATAGATGCAGGTTTTGGTTTTGAGTGGAAGTATATCCAACAAATATGACCACCTCAATCATGTTTAAAAATAGTACATTTTACATAAAAATCTCTGTATCAGTTCCTTTGCATTTAGCAGTTCTGGGTTTTTTTACTTCACAATTATTGGTTCAATATTTACCCTAAGGTTTTGCTCTTACAGAATATGCTTAAAAAGTAGGAGATATTCATGAGAAGACTATAAGGCTGACACACACTGTGTACTGCTATAGGACTAACATGGAGAATGGGACAACCTCCAGTGCGATATCCAGACACAGGGCCACATGACAAAGATATTACATGACAGCAGGTGCCATCTGCATTTAGCTCTCCTGAAAATATTTTTTTAATTATTTTCTTATCATTGTTTGCCCTCCAATTCAGCAGAATTATTCAGCCCATGCTGGGATAGGATTTTATGGGTCTCTGTTGAGAGTATGAGAACTATGCCGTGTTGGAAGAGGTACAGGAGCATTGCAAAGAGTGCAGCATGTTGCTAAGCATCACTGAATATTTGACAAGGATTATTTGGCTAATCCTCCCTTTCCTGAAAACACCTTGGTAGTGGGCCAAGAACAAACTTTATGCCAACTTTGTCCTTTGAACTTGAGATAGCCCACAGACTGTTCCTAGAACTGAAGTTTTGGCTGCAAGTGATCCCAAAAGGAAATTCAGCTGCCCAAAATAATCAATGTGTACCATAGCCCAGTTAAAAGTGGTGCTGTTTTATTTAGCTCCTATTTAAATATTTCTTTAGTGTATTCAAGTTTCTTCTACAATTTATTTTAAAATGCATACAACTGCACCGGAGTTGCAAACAGACAAACAGACAATCCTCTCCTCTAGGGGTGATTTTTAAGAGAAACAGTCACTTTCTTTTTCCCTTGGCAATGTGGGAAGCCAGTTCTGCATCAGGGATGTTGTCTTCTGCTTTAGGAATAATGCTTCCATTTGTTCTTTAGTGTTCTATAGGCTTTGTGATTTTACCACAAGATTTTTGCAAGTAGTCCCAATATGAATTTCTGAAATACACATGGTAATATGGATTTGATTGGAAAAATCAGGTCTGTTCTCCTCAGTGTGAGGAGTAGAGAGATAATAGGAAGAATGATGTGGCAAACATAATTATCAGAGCAAATAATACTGAGATTAGAGTAATTCTTGCATCAGTTCCAACATCAAGCTATTTTTTATCTATTAAATAGTGATTTGTATGAGAAATTTGATATGAGAGATGCCCTATGGACAATGGAAATTTTTCCATAGAGTAAACTAAAGATG